TAATCAACGCTTGGGTTTTTTATATCTCCCCTCCCTCTCCTACATGTATATAATTCCATCAATAAAAATATTACTTGAGTTCGATTAAGTCCTTTTAAAAGTCGAAACGCATTACACAGAAAAAAATGACTTTATCATTTATTTGCCTAATATTATTCTGATATATAGAAATGTATATACCATAATTCCCCGATACACACGCATACACACAGATATTAATTTATTTGTAACAAACAGTTATTTCTGAAGAAAGATTGAGGCCAATCTGAAATATCAAATATATATATAAATAAATGAATACTTTCTCAAAAAATACATTATTATTTTTTAATTTGCAACTTTCTCTCTCTCTCTCTCTCTCTCTCTCTCTCTATATATATATATATATATATATATATATATATGGGGGGTGAATAACGATATATAAATCTTAATATATCGTTTCGTTACTTAGGACTTCATTGGAAAAGCTTTCGTCACACGAAAACTTTTTTACACTTTGTCATACATCTCTTCATATATATTAAGAAATGGACAAAGTCCGACAATTTATTTATTAAAGACATTTTTATGTTTAACTTTCTTTTAGATACAAGTATTTCTATAAAAAAGAACGTTAAACATAAAAATGTCTTTAATAAATAAATTGTCGGACTTTGTCCATTTCTTAATATATGACGTCATTTGTTTACATTTGATACGCCAGAGCAGTTATGAATGTACGAGATTCATGGAAGATTGAAGTTTATAAGCAGTAAATTCGACCTTGTCTACCGAGCGCTCCTTTGTGGCCGGTCGGTAAGGCACGTCAGCGTAAATGACGGTTCCGTATAGGATGCAGGTTCGAATCCTGTCACAGGACGAATATTTTCTATGAAAACTTCTCGGATATTCAGGCCGGTAAATGTTATTTAATACTGTTTATTATAAACAGAGCATTTACTTAAATACTTGTATCTATAAAAAAGAACGTTAAACATAAAAATGTCTTTAATAAATAAAATCTATTCATATATATATGTAGTATATATATTAAGGCAGCATATTTTCATTCAAACATGTCTGGTTAAATAATTTAGACATATCGTCGATTAGTTTTCATTGTTTCATTTCGTTGTCATCCTTTTAAGTTCGCGGATTAATTTCTTCGTAGCCTTAGAAAATTGATTAAGAAACTTGAAAGGGTCAGAACGAAACTAACCGACATGATATGTCTAAATTATTTAACCAAACCAGTTTGAATATATATATATATATATATATATATATATATATTCTGACGAGTGGCTCAAACAATTATAAAAAAAAGGTTAATTTACAAAACTCTGGAGTAGAGGTACTGAATATAACATCAATCAATTAAGTAACAAATATGTATGAAAGTGCATGAGAAATTTACTGTCATTTGGTCTCCAATGAAAGCCACAGGGAATGCAAAAATTTAGTGTGTAAAACTGATATATATACATACATATATATATATATATATATATATATATATATATATATATATAGAAGTAGTAACCAAATTTCAGATGATAAGGTAATAGACAAAAAATAAAAATAACAGGCTTTTCCCAATCATGTAACAACAAAAGGAGCCTATGCTGTAACCACATTAGACATGACAATTCGTTCACTAGCTTCGTCACTGTATCTATTTTCAAAATCTACCGCAACCCTAACTGTAGAAGTCATAACATAATTTTCCTATTAGAATGGACACTCTGCCAGAAACAATATGTTGGAAAATCTGGATGGCTCTTTCACTACAAAATTAATAATTATCGGAATTGGATCAATTCGGCTCTCCACAAAAGGTTATTACATGTAGAACAATTTTTCCGCCTAAAAAAAACATGATTTTAAAAGCTATGTAAAATTCATTATAATGGAAAATATAGAAATAGACAGAAAAGATAACATTAGAAATATTCTAAAGGAAAATCGAGACACATGGATTTTTGCCTCAAAACAATTTGTCCAGACGGACTTAACCACAAATTTAACAACACAGATAGAAGTAATATATAATCCAATAAATCAAGCCCTACCCACATTTCTCACCTACACAAGACATGCTTGCAGAGGTGTTGAGGTCTCGCACATCACACACACTCCCCCAAAACTAAAAAATAACATACACTTGACACACACATCCCATTCCCAGCAACCAATAAAACTGTCAAAATGACCAAGGAGGGAATTCTGAAACTCAAGAATCTCCCATCCTCTATCTTAAAAACAACTTGAAATAGGCCAATGACTGACCAAAATGAACGATAAAAAAACAAAAAAAAAACATGAAAACCACAGATAAAATTCACTTTCTTCAGAAACAGTCATTCATTCACTGCTACTAATAAGCACTAATTTTTTCTCCTGATGATGGTCATGTTGGTCGAAACTAGTCGAGGAACCTAAATGAAATAATAAAACAAGAAAAATATTAATATATAAATAATATATATAAACAATATAAATATTAATAATAACCCAGTAATTAATGTTTTAATATTTTTTATTGTTCAACAGACACACGACTGCACCCCATATATATATATATATATATATATATATATATATATATATATATATATATATATATATATATATACACTATCATATCAACCTATGACTCATAACTCGTAGTAACTTCTTTGTTGGATATTGTATTGCTTTCTTTTATTTGAAGAAGTTCCGAAGTAAGAAAACGACAATTTTTTTCTACTTCGTCTCTCAACAGCTATCTGAAAGGTATATTGAAATGTCTTTCATCTCTAATCATTTCAAAGTGGCCTACTCGAATACACGCCTCTAAGTCGATATATCATTCAGTGGCATCAGGTGTCTCTTCATTTATAGTCGTTCTACAAATTCAATTTATTGAGAACCGAGTTTATTACCTGATGTTGTGTGAAACCCTGGTGGGGGGTTTCGGTTTTACCTAAGAAAATCCGTAAATACATACATCATTCTTTGTATTAAATGTACAGCCGTTATGTTTTTTTTTTGTAAGGATCAGAGTGTAGTATCTGCCCAATCTCTTGTTTATTTTGTTTAGTGGCATATCATCCTCTATAGGTTATCTAATGCCGAAATCTAAATATCTAGCACGCAATTTTATCCTTTCAACTATACATACCTTGTACATAACTATATAATCTCAGGGTAAAGTATTTTTTTTTTTTAGATATATAGTGTGTAGATAATTTTTAAAAGATTCACTCTGTACAAGGCCCGGGGTCCACTCACGTTAGAGGGTTACGTCAAGAGGTGGTTTATATGGATATATTATTATATATATATATATAAAAAGAAAGAACAGTAAGATATAAAATCCGGTGTTCTTATAGATATTGTTATTTTTACAAAATAGTGCTCAATGTAAATTTACAGAGCATTAAAAAAAAAAAAAAAATGTAACCTCATATACATACTTAAACTTGATGTTAAAATAATCCTACATAATATAATGGATTCTAATACATTTAACTGTTCTTAAAAAGAATATAGTAATATAAAAATTAAAAAGGAGAATATTTCAAATCGTAGTTAAAGAAAAAGTATTAGGAAAGGAAAGAAAAACAAAACAAAAAAAACCCCGAAAATATTTAAATTTAAAAAATGACGTTGAAATTTATTTACCGTTAACAATTTTTTTTTTTTTTTTTTTTTAAATCCAGACGACATCCATTCAACTGATGTCAGGTTTCATTGTAAAATACATCCCTACCCCTTACCAAATTGTAGCTAATAACTGATACAATGATACTGACATAAGGAAAATCTAGACATCCCTTGTTCAATTTAAGTAGAATATTCTGTAACCATGGAAACGTGATTTTAGCTGTGTCTTTAAAACCCGGTAATTTTTAAAAGTTACTCCAAAATTCGCTTGAAGATGAAATGGAACTAATGCTTTTAATTTAATTGCAAAATTAAATTCGGGGTTTTTAGCTTCTATTTTTGAAACATGGTTGGAACTGTGTAGCGAAAAAAAACCATATTTTAAATCAATTAATTTATAATATATATATATATATATATATATCCAAGTATATGATTGGTGTATACGGAATAAATTACAATAACCAACAATTACTATTCTTAAAAGAGTGCTCAATACAGAGTAGAGCGAATATAATTATTTATTTAAATATTATAGCATAAATATGCTATAAAATCACAAGAAAAATAGCCATTTTGTTTCAACATTCTACAATCTACATTCAACATCATCACTTGATAAGACCCCAGAGGTGTTGGAACAAAATGGCTATTTTTGTTGTGATTTTATAACATAGTTATGTTATAATTTATATATATATATATATATATATATATATATATATATATTATAGTGTTGCACTGATTTTCATTTTGCTATAAAAATTATTGTTGGTCTTTTTATTATAAAAATGTACTGTGGATTTTTCTTTGGAGGTTCACTTCTTGCTCATAGCTGGGACCCTAACTGGTGCTAAGACCCCAGGTCCGGGCGGATCTAGGAACAGCACCAATTAAGAGGTTTGTTCCACGCTCCACAAAACCTCCAATCTCCTTATCGGAGGCCTTGCTGCCGGATGTAGTTTATCGTTTACCCAGGACGCGAGAACTGGAATTAGTTATGTTTTCTGACCAAGGAACTTATATAATAATCAAATGTCGTTTTTGACGCTTGAGTCGTGTACATCCTATACCAAAAGACATCATGTACGATGATTTACCCACGGTACACCGCCAGGTATGCCGCCTTGCATTACGTTTTACGGATGTCACGGGCATCGACTCTGGTAGTTGGGAACGGCTAGCAGACGATCGTAGCAGCTGGCGCCACGCTATTCAATAAAGAATCAGTCGTGTTTTCTGACGGAAGAACTTATATAATATTATTCGACGGAAAGAAACCCGGAAACGGAAGTGAAGCAAAGAGATGGTGGGTGCGAAGGAGGAAGGGTAGGAAGAAAAATGTTAGAGAAAAGCAAAAAGAAAATAAGTCAATAGGAAAAATAAATGATAAATATGTAGAAAGAGAGAGAGAGAGAGAGAGAGAGAGAGAGAGAGAGAGAGAGAAAGAGGAAGGGAGTGAGAGGAAGAGAGATAGAGAGAGAGAGAGAGAGAGTGAGGGGAAGAGAGTGAGAGAGAGGAAGAAAGCGCGAGAGAGAAGGGGAAGATATGAAGAACAATGAATGACAGAGACAAGCTTGCTAGTTGGATAACGAAATAATTCTTTTACGCGCTGTGTTCTTTCAGAACGTAGGCGATCATATCCCTCCACATCTTCCCGACTCTTGTAGCTCTTAATAAGTTTTGCCTTTTTGTTATTTATCCCAAACCCTGGTCTACCATCCATTTACTCAAGCTCATTAAGTATGTCACGCGCTGCTTTCCTTTGTCCCTCTTTCCATCTGTTTGTCATGTGAGTGTCAGATTTTCCAAGCCCCTCTTCCTCATTTCGTTCCCCAGTAATTTCAACCGCCTCTTCCTGATGTTAAGTATAAGTTTCCCTTTTGTTTATTTCTCTCCAAAACCTCGCCATTCTTCACATGTTCGGTCCATGGTATCCTCGGCATCTTTCTGTAGAACCACATTTCTGTTGGTTGGAAACAAAGATGAAGTGATTTGAAAGTCACTTCATTATCTTTGAGGAGATTGTCCAGCATTCGCTGCCATACAGGAGGACCGATATCACGTGACAGTTCAGTACTCTTTTTCCTTTATCCAACGAAATTTTCCCATCTCTTAATACTCTGCTTAGATTTTGGAATGCGTCTTTCGACTTCCCAATACGTCTTCGGATTTCAGTGTCACACTTAGCGTCCTCTGTTAGAACACTTCCCAGATATTTAAATTTCTGTTCCTGCTTGATTTTAGTATCCACGCAAGAAACAATTAGTGAAATAATAATAATCACGTGACAAGTGCGAGAGCTGTGAGGAGACTTAGTGTCACTTGATCTCCATTTAAAACCACTGTGTAAAAGAGTTTGATAAAGTATGTCACATAGAACTCTTGGAAATCCTCGGTAAGCTTCAGATATTTGAATCATCCAGAATCTATACCGGCAGCAAAAAATAGAATGGGGGTAAGACAAGGGTGTGTCTTCTTACCAGACTTCATAGTAAAATAATCCTCAGAGAATGAGAAGTACTATCAGAATTCATCATTGGAGGCCATAATTAGATATGCAGATGAAACCATGTTAATATCAGATACAGAAATGTAACTACAGGAACACCTACACTAGGTACTAAAGGAAAGCAAGAAGAAAGGACTAAGCATCAATTGTAAGAAGTCAGAATGTATGGTTGTCAGGAAAAGTAATAGCCCAACATTTAAATTAAAAATTGGAGATACCAAAAGTTTAAATATTTCGGAACTGTTTTAACAGAGGACGGAAAACGCGATACTGAAATCAGAAGGAGCATTGAAATAGCGAAAATTGTCTTCCAAAACCTAAGCAAAGTATTAAGAAACAGGAAAATCTCGTTAGAAACAAATGTATAGTCTATATGGACGTGAATGCTGGACAATCACCATCCACAGATGAAGACGAGACTTGAAGCAACAGAAATGTGGTTCTACAGAAGGATGCGGAGAATACCATGTTGTAGAGTAGTTTTCACAGTGGAGGCTTGTATTTCAATAAGTCGTCCTAAATTAGGTTCGACGTACAAAACGTTAGGAACTTGAAAATAAGAGTTAATGACGCAGCAATCTAGTTGTGATGGTTGGTACTTCAATGTCCGATATCGTCTGACTCGCTCAACACCACTGAGCCGAACTGGCGCCTGCTACTACTACTTATTATCTGTGGGAGAGTCCATTACAATAGAATAGGTATATGGTATGACATACCATGAACTGAACATGTGAGCAACGACGAAGTTTTAGAGAAAATGAAAGCAAAAAAGAACACTTCAGGAAGAGACAGTTAACATTTCTAGGGCACATAATAGAAAGAGACTGATTGGAAAATTTGATACAGGACAGATTGAGGACAAGAGAGGCAGAGGAAAACAACGCATAACCAACCTAACAATCTTGTATGATTAGATGGCGGGAAAAAAAGGTCTAGGAGAGATAACAAAGAGACAACATTTATAAAGATCTACAAAAAATAGGAAATTGTGGAGAACCATGTTCTCCAACGTCTTAAAGAAACACGGAACAAAGAATTACAATTTCTCATTTCTTTCCCATTTTTCTTAAAAGTTCCTAATTGCTTACATGCTCCATTTGTGATATTCCCACCAACCTTCTGTAGGGCCACATCCCTATTGCTTCAAGTCTGCTCTTCATCTGGGAGGGAATTGTTTCGCTTTCACAGTCCTATAGGATTGATATTGAAAATAGCGATAATTGTCTTCCAAATGCTAAGGAAATTATTAAGAAACAGGAAAATCGCGTTAGAAACAAAGTAAAATTACTGAACTGCTATGTAACTTTAGTCCTCCAATATGGTAGTGAATGTTGAACAATCACCATCTGCAGATGAAGACGAGACTTGAAGCAACAGAAATTTGGTTCTACAGAAGGATGCTGAGAATACCATGAACTGAACATGTGAGCAACGACGGAGTTTTAGAGAAAATAAAAGCAAAAAGAACACATCAGGAAGAGATCGTTGATATTTCTAGGGCACATAAAAAGAAAAGATAGCTTGGAAAATTTGATACTCACAGGACAGATTGAAAGCAAGAGGGACAGAGGAAAACAACGCATAATCTACCTAATTCGTAGGTCATGCGGACCACTAATATGAGTTTAGAAAAAAATAAGGTAAATACATTTATATTATAATAATCGGAAAACTTTTATTTTATTAATATGAAATGCTCCCATTAAAGGTAACAAAGTTTTTGTGTAATTATTTAAATAAACGTTTAAAATGATAAAGATGAAGAAGTCTTGAGGTAACGATGGTTTCCCTTATACAGGGAGACGCAGGTTCAAATCTTCTTGGCGAGCGTATATTTTCTTTCAATAAGATTTTCTCGAATATTCAAATAGATTAAGATGAATAAATATAATGTTTAATAAATAAACGGAACGTCTACTCAAATATAGGTAAACACTAAATTAACGTTTAGAGTGATAAAATATGTCAGATTAATAGCTAAAAAAAATCCATTACTTCTTTAGAAATTGCTTTGTTTACGTTAAGATACGAAATGAAGCAGATACGTATATTTTGAGAGTCTGAGAAAGATTTGCATTTATAAAGCACTATTCAGCTTTACTTGCCCACCAATGCATTTCGTGGCCAAGATGGTCGAAAACAGCGATCGCCACTCTTTTGAACTTCATGGACCACTAAACGTATAATTTTAAATTTGGCGGACTATTAATATGAATTTAGAAAAGAAAGATAAATACATTTATATAATAATAATCGGAAAACTTTTTATTTTATTAATATGAAATGCTCCCATTAAAGGTAACAAAGTTATAGTGTAATGATTTAAATAAAACAAATTGAAAATTTGAAGATTCATGAAAATTGAAATCATCTCCCAATTTTTCTGCGGACCATCAAAAATTTTGCACGGACCACCAGTAGTCCGTAGACCATCGGTTGGCGGCCACAGGTCTAAAGTATGTCGTATCTAACGTCGATTTCCCTCTGCCCAGTTTCATGCAGGTTCGAATCCAGGCAGAGAGTCCATATTTTTCTTTAATAAGATTTCTCGAATATTCAGGCCGGTAGACGAAAATAAATAAATATACTGTTTAATAAAGAAACGGGGCGTCTACTCAAGTACGAGTATCCACTAAAAATAACGTTTAAAGTGATAACAATCTATCGGATTAATAAATAAAAAAAATTCATTACATCTGTAGATTGTACTAATCTAGATAATGTATCTTTTTATTTGAGATCTACTACTTAAAATAATTAAATATCCTATATTAACCCTTTTGATCCCTACGTTCTTGAACAATTTTAATAATTCTGCCTGAGCTCCAGAGTCAAAATTCCCAAATAATTGGTATGTAATGTTTCCCGGTAGATATAAAAATAGTTACAACTGGTGGCTAGGCATTAAGTCATCTTTCTTTACTACTGTTCAACCGGTGGTTGGGTATTACGTATTTTTTTTATCTCTACCACCGGCAAAGCGGTGGTCAGGGCTGAAAGAGTTAATAATGGTTTCAGTTCTGAGTTCAAGAGACAAAATAATAATAATAATAATAATAATTAAATATATCACATGCTCTGATAAATACTGATTCAGTTTTCTTTTTGATTATGAAATGTTCTTGTATTTGAATCTATACATCTTTTGTTGCGTTCCTTGTATGTCGACTTTCTTCCGCATTGGATGTTGTTCAAGTGAACCCTTTTCTGGGTAGTAGAAATTTACAGTAGAGGTTTTCTTAGATATTGACCAGGCTATTTGGATCGTGTAAGCAGGTGCATGCCTTAAAGATTAACGTTTGATTTCTTATCTGGGGAGAGATAAGGTTGCTTGTTGGAAAACTATGAGTAAAAACTGTAAAGTAGATAGTTATAGAAAGGTGCAAACACATGATACATCAAAATTGCCATATAGAGCAAGAGGAAGATAAAAGAGAGGATGCAGTAGAAGACATTTGTACATTACTTATTCTTGTGTCGTCTATAGCACTAATGATGAAGTATTGCAAAGAAATTTCAATTATATATGATTAATACAAAAATAAAAATATAAAATATAAAATTTATCACTTAGCTGACAGTAGGGTGTTAGCTACATTAAGAATTGAAAGGAATTTTATATATATATATATATATATATATATATATATATATATATATATATATATATATAAGGTGGACTCTCCCGCCGTAATCGATATATGAGGGTCATAACAGCTCAGTTCCTAGGAATCGACAGCCAGACACCAGTACATATGATTTGATTATAGTGGTGAAGGTTTTGTGCAGAACCAACCGCACTTTTTGAAGGGCCGAATACAGAGACCTGGTGCACTACGTGCCACAAGGTCCCCAAACGACTCTCAAAATAATACGTAATACCCAACCACCGGTTGAACAGTAGTAAAGAAAGATGACTTAATGCCTAGCCACCACGTGCCACAAGGTCCCCAAACGACTCTCAGCAAGTTTTGAATTCAGAATTGTTCTTCTTCTAGTTCAGTTACCATCCCAGGCTATAGAACCCAGTCTGTACTGCTATTTATCCATGATTGGGAGGTGGGG